GTCCACATATCAATTCGAAGGCAAGCGCTGTTAAAAATCATTATTTTAATTTAATAAATTCCAAATAAATTAAATATATCACCATGCATTCAATAGTGTGTACCGCACCTAAATTAATAAACCACTAAAACAGAAAGCGTCCCCACCGCTGTCAGAAGTATGCTCCGTTATGATCAAAATTCTCTCTTACTCCCTTATTTCTCTTGGTAAACGGTAGCATATGGTAAAATATAAAGTGGCCCGGCCACACATAAATTTCAAGGCAAGTATTGTTGAAAATCATTAAAAACTAAAAAATTAAGCTTTTTCTTGCTTTTTACTTACAAAATATTTGAATGGATAAAGAAATACGGGGAAGCCCCTCACAATGTTATGTCATAAGGTATTGAATATATATACAATAATTCTCATAACAAAATATATTCTGGTTTTTTCCCAATTTATATTCTCGCCACGCATTGTTCTCATCATATGTTAGTTTTAACTAAATAGAGTGGCATGGTAACATATCAATTTAAAGACAAGTATTGTTGAAATACATTAAAAATTAAAAAAATATATATTTCATTTGCTTTTCACTTACAAAGTACTTGAATGAATAAAAATACAGGAAAACCTATCACAATGTAAAGGCCTTTAAATATTAAAAATGTACAAAATCTTTTTCTGTTTTTTTTTTCAAACTACATTTTCCCCACGGAAAGGTACCTATGATATTATAAAATAAAATGTTAAGCGGCCTGGCCACATATCAATTTGAAATCTGAGTTGAAGGTTGAAGTAGTGTACAAGTTCATTATTAACTCAAAAAGTGTGTTTCTATCAAATTCATTAACAAAGTGAACAAATAAATATAAATTTCCAAATTTCAAATAATTTCAGGGAAAAGTGTGGCTAAAATATCACCAAAATACCAAATATAGCTAATTATCTGCCGGAAAAGACAGATGATTTGAAAGATGTTACTAAAATGTTCAATATACCAAATATAGGAGGCTATACAAAGACGTGGATCGACGTGGATGGAAAATTGCAAGTATAGAGGTCTACCTGTCTGCTTTGTAATGTCAGAAATACTATCAAAACAATCAAAAAACCAAACAATTTGTTGCATTGATTTTGAATAAATCATTAAAAAATTCGAAAACTGAATGAAATGTCAAAATCTCTTTTTAGAATCATGTTCTGTACATCTCAAAAGATTTATTTCGCTACAAAAACTTTAAATTTTGACCATGCATACCTTAGCATAAGCACTTTTAAAACACCTGAATTTGAATATTTTCTCAACAAGAGAATGGAAAAAAAATTAAAAGCATATGGTATCATAGTCCTACCTTGATATCATTGTACCCTTACGATCCCCAAATTTAAAGTAATTCCAGGAAAAGTAAAATTTTAGGTGTTATAGTTATATGGGACCATACGAAAACGAGAACCTCTATAGCCAATTAGTGCCGGTTACAAACTCGAAATGTCATGTTTGAGATCATTCTGTCGAAAAATGAAGCTGAAATCATCACAATACCGAATATTGGGAGGTACCGTTATATAGAGGCTAAAAGCCAATGATGACCATAGACAGCTTGATTTCAACGATATTTACATTGTTATATTAATAATGTCTTTTGTCAAAATTATGGATTTTTTTGTCAAAAATAAACATCTAGAGTCAAGCTCCACTTTTATTAAAAAAGTTGGAGTTCCAAATAAAGAAACAGAATACTTTTTTTATTTGCACTGTGCTAAATGCCATTTTTTTTTTAAACAACTTCAGTTGTTAGCACCATTTCCCACCAATTAACTGTGATGCCACTCACTACTGTAATGTTTACGATCCGTAACCTGAGTTTTACTCTAAAACATCAGTAGGGTTGCTGTATCAACATAAACAAACTCTAAGAATTACCGCTAGTACAATTGTAAATAAAGGAAATGATCTAATTCTCTGAGAGTAGAGGTACTTATGGATAATTAATAAATGAAGTTAATATAGGAAAATATATTTTTCTCGGAGAGTAGAGGTACTCATCGATAATTAATGAATTACGGTATAGGAGAAATATAAAATGAAATGTAAAAGGTATTTAGATTATTAAGAATTACCGCAATTACAATTGAAAATAAAGGAACTTATCTCTGAGAGTAGTTGATGAATTACGGTATTAGGAGAATTATGAAAAGAAATGTAAAAGGAATTAAGATTATTGAGAGTTTAGGGAAACATGTCAAATGTGCATTGTTTACATTTGGCAAGATGTGCCATATTTTTCTGAGAGTACTATAGTGAAGGAGATTATAAATGTATTTCCGGTGCCGAACAGGTGAAAGTATTTATGTGAGAGGAGAAGGGGACAAAAATTCTCTGAGATGTCAAAACGAAAATTTACGACACAAAACAATGAGCAAACGGATCAATTACAAATGCAGTAATAATACGGAAATTAAATAGGCAGTCCGCTTTTTTGAAAATGCTATAATCTTCCCATTACTACCTGAATTAAATAACTAAGAAAAATTACAGAGAAAGTATTGTTATGAGAAGAGTGAATGAATGAAACGGTAATATGTGTGAAACCTCAATGCACTATTTGTACAATAGATTTGATTATTTGATGAAAAAAATATGATAAAATTAATATTTACGAGGAAATTCATGGAACGTGTTTTTATGAGATTTGGAACGGACAAAATGAAAGCAGGTATCTATAGATTTGAAAAGAGACGAATCCACTGATGGTCATTATAAAATTAATAAATGACAACAGTATATAAATAAAAGGAATGGTTTAGAATTTGGAAGCAAATCATTTAATTTTTACATAAAAGAGAGCAAAATGAATGAATATAGCGGAAAATAAGACATTTCTTTCACGAGACAGTGGAAACATTTATGTAAAATAGCTCTGTTGTTGGTGGTAGAGAATATGAATAATATTGCTCTATTGTTTTTAAAAAATATATATTTTTGGACTTGTAATTTTTAAGAAGACTGCAGTAGATCGATAAGGCTTAAGAACCTATTCATTTTCATCCATTACAACATTGACCTATTTTCTATTCAAAATCGTATTCCTACGTAGGTCTATGGTTTTTGGTAGTTCCGAGTATATTTCATTTCACAATAAAAATCGCTCAAGTTTTTCGATTATTTTTCACGGTGAATGTGTTTATGGGACACTTGGTTTTTGTTTTCTCTTGTTCTTTTTTTAGCACAACACAAAAAATATCTGTACCTGTTTTTTTGCAACAAACACACGCACGCACACACATCGCAGACATGACGGATGTTAAAATAAAAACTGGAATAAGTGACACCGTGAGCTTTAGAAAATGATCAGTGGCGAGTAGTTATTATAAAATAACTGTATTTCACATAGCTATAAAGAGTAAACTACTAATTGAACATTAAAGAGATTTAATTACCACGTTATTTACAACGACTGCGATTTCAAAAAGATTGTCAATTCTTTTGGACATAGGTCTAATAAATATCGAATTTTCTTAAAAGAAGGAATTTGGTTTAGAATTTATCCATCGTCAAACTCTTTTAAATTTTTATTTAACTTGCTTTTTTTTCCAGTTAATGACTCCAAAATATTCCTCGAGTTGAGCTGGTCATGTCTTCACATGTGTATGTATGTACATACATACATACAAGAACAAAAAATAAGCCGGTATAGTAAATGGTGTTACGTACGTTCCCCGTCCCTCTCGCAAATGAACCACAAACACCGACACTCTCATACATACTCTCCCTCTCTGAAGTTGCTTGATCGTCGTCACCCAACACATCACAGTGACAACCAACCAAGGTACAGGTGTACAGCACAAATATAAACTTCAAACCCACCGAATGGAAAGAAGACTAAGAAGAAGCACATCTCATCATGTTCAAATAAAATATGTAATCAATGCACCAAGAAGGTGGGATGTAAAGTAGGTAGGTAGGTAGGAAGATATAAATACGAGCAACCCGCAACCGATACATTGCAATGCTGCCACACCATGGATGGTGATGACCAACAACAACAAAAACAACAAGAGCAGCAACCATCAAGAAGAAATGTTGTTTTGGTGTACATAACTACAGTACGAAAATTTGCAGCACTGCAATTATAATAAAATAAGGCGAGAGCGAAAAAGAAACACAATCAACCACACATCACATTGACATTTCTTGGTACAAAAGAAAAATACCAAATTTCTTGAAACTTTTAGGAAATAAAAGCGAAACAAAATGAAATGATAATGGTTTGAAAGGAAAATAAACACAACATGAAATGGGAATAGCCATCAAATGTTAACAATATACCATCATAAAGATTGTCCAGTGTTAAGATAGGCAGACAAACAGGGCAAAAGAACCACGAGAATGACAACCAGCAACGTCAATTACATTTTTTGTATATGCACGAAAAGAAGAAAAATCGCGGCGTCACAAAAAAGACACTTGAAACAGAAAAAAACAACTAAATTTTTAATTTTCTCTATACACATCTAAAACAGCACAGCACCAACAACTGCACATAAACGAGCAACCGACAAAGCAGCCACACTCGCACACACACACAAACACATTTAACGTTGTTCGCACTCACGCACACTTTTATCATCACACGCTACTCACAAATATGCAGAGAAGACAGACACAGCAAACATACAGAACTAACTATTCAATCAATTATGCAAAAAATTTATCGATATCTGCTATTTATTTCTTTTTTTGCAAAATCTATTTTATTTACTTGCAAGCCAACCCCACAATTCTCTTCCGCATTTGAAATTATTTTTCTCCGGTGGCAGTATGGCAAAACACTTCATTTTCTTTTCTTTGTAAAACAAAAACACATGCGGCGACGGCGACTTCAATTTTAGATTTTGACATTTCCTTTTTTCGCTCAATTCTTTTTCGTTTCTAGGTTTCACACATGTTTGAACAATACTTTGCAACATTTTTTTCTTTTTTCCACCAAAAAAAATTATTTTCCAAACATTACAATTCTTTTTCATCTTCTTTTTTCCTTTGGTACTGATTTCAAGTATGTATATTATTGCAAAAAAAAGCACACACCAACCGCTTCGTGTAATTATATCTTTTTTAATTTCTTTTCCATCATCATTTGCTCAAGCCCAATTAAACAACACAAAAAATCATCGAATCACTGTATACACATATAAGAGCCATATCGTCGTCGTCGCGTTTTATTCGTGGGCAAATATAATTGTCGTATGCGATGCGGCATTCGTTAATACACTTAGAGACGACGTCGTTATTGTCCGTTTTTTTTTTGTATTGTTGTTGCTGCCACTGCCGCCGCTGGTGCTAATAATCTTTTTTTTTTTCTTCATCAATTTCTTCTTAAAATTTTTTCCTTCATGTATTTTCCCAAACTTTCAAAGGCATTTTCCTTCACAAATTTTCCAACAATTCACTTCATTTCAACATCATTCTATTGCTTTTGTTCAATACTTGAGAATTTTTCAATAATTTTACAGCAATTTTTACTTTTAGTTACGTTTTTGCAATTTTTTTGTACTCATCACTTAAAGATTAATGTACGCACAACATCAAAGACCTCCATTTTAAAAGCCAAAACAGGGTTGTATACACAGATCGAGGGCGAGGCGTGTGGAGTAACGGCGTTGCACGGCATATTGAGAGCGACGATGGAAGTTGCTGTGTGTCAGAGTTGTATTTTTGGGCGAGTTGATTTAGAAACGGTTTACCTTCATGGTGTTCACACGGAGGTATGCTTAAGGTCTCCTTAGCAATATTATGAAATCCTAATAAAATACATAAAAAGAGGATAAAGAAGTAAATAAATAAAATTTATATTTTTTATTTATTCGAACCAAAATGGCATATTAAAAGCGAATTTATTTAGAAACAGTTTACAGTTATTGTGTTTACACAGAGTTGTACCTAAGATCTTCTTAATAATATTTAAAAAAATATAAGAAATCCTAATAAAATACAGAAAAACAGGATGAAGAATCTGATAAATAAAATGCATATTTTTCATTTATTTGAAAAAAAAATGTTTAAAATAAGTATTCATTAGCTTTGATAAGCCTCTGCAAGGAAAATAATGTATGTTTCAATGTATTTGGATGAGCTAATACAGTTTTAAGTTCTTGGATTCCGTTCGAAAGAGATGTATTAACAAAGCAATTGGGTTTACGCTTGGATTTTTTGTATTGCTTAAATGAAAACCATTTTTTCAGTATTAGTATGTAAATGCTGTACCAGATTTAAAATAAGCAGCAATAAATCTTCTTACTGTGGGTTAAAAGCACATTTAGACAACAAAATGCACTCGATTTCAAACATGGCAGAAGAATACAGGTAGATGCATCAACGCTTGGGAACATTGATATGTCAAAAAATTTAAATGTTTTTTTAAATATAAATAGATTTTTATATGTTTTCTTATACGACGTCTTTCGGAGGTTATTATAATTCGTTTTTTTCAACAATGTTTATAAATTCAAATAATTTTCATTCAACATTTTCAATTCCAAAATTGGTTTGACAGTTCATTGTCTCAGCAGCTGTGTCGATGCGTCTACCTATATTCTTCTACCATGATTTCAAATGTCAATTCCATAGCGTAAATCATATCCATAAATCCAGTGATATGCTATGATATTGAATCGTTAATCTAAACGTACTTTAAGTCTTATTTACACTCATGGTAGAAGAATACAGGTAGATGAAAGAATACAGGAGATGAAAATGTGGATTGAAAAATTATTCAAATTTGTAAAAATTGTTAAAAAGATCTACTTATTTAAAAAATACATTAAAGAAATGTTGACATATCAATGTTTCCATGGTAGAAGAATACAGGTAGTCGAATCGGCACATCTGGTCGAAGAATGAACTATCAAATCAATATTGGAGTTGGAGTCATTCAATAAATTTAAAAATCATGGCCGACCGTATGTACACCTTGAGTAGATTACTGTATGTTCCTGAACAGAGGATTTATTGTCAAATCGTTGTAAAAAAGTAGTCTTCCTAGCCAACCTTATGAGAACCTTGTTCTGAACTACAAATGTTATTTTTTTTAAATATATATTTTTTGAAGTACTTTTCAAAAATTTTTCAAAACTATAAAAAGTTCCTAAATATAGCTTTCTCGTTCATGAAAACAGATGTTTCAGGTTTGCTAAGAAAGTTTTTTCTTTTTATTTGGTTGTTCATCATCATTGTCAACACTTTCTTGTTCAGAATCGGAACTTTTTGGAAACTTAATGACATCTTCCTGATCTTCTTTTTCTTCTGCATTTAGCATTCCCTCATCTTCTTCATGTTCCGAAGATGATGAGTCAGAGAATACAATGGGCCCTGAGGATTTTACAAACATTATTGTTTTACCAATACGTCGGGATTCTACAAAAAATGGAAAATTTTAGTAATATAATGCCATCAATGTGTAACAAAAGTTCTCAAGTCTTACCTGCCCTCAAAAACAATTGGCGACAGAAACGATCTATGGCACATTTACCTTGATCTTCAGACAAACCAAGATGAATGACCTACAAGAGGAGGAAAATAATAATTTAACCAATTTTTAATAATCCTTTTTGTTTACTTACAAAATTTGCCACATCATAGGGTCCCCTTAGTTCAAAGGGATTTGTTGCTCCACTGCTAATGATAATACTCTTGGATTTTTCCTCTCACAAAATAGTTGTGGGCTATTTTTATAATATCCTTGCGAAAATTTGTATCCACAATCAGTGGTGAATATTTTATTTCGAAAAATATTCCTCGTTTAACGGCTACTTGATAGGCTTTACGATTAACATATAACGTGCCCCCGCCTGGGCATCAAATGTCACCAAGTCACCATTAAAGGTTGTGCAACATGCTGCAAGAAAATAGGATCAATTAATGGCTTTTAAAAACTACTAATATTAGTTTAACACATACTGTTAAGGCAGGCATCAGTTTTGGGTTGTCCAGCAACCAAATTAAATTTCTTCAAATTCATTGAATTGCACTGGAAAATAGAAAAATGATAATCTTTTGATTAAATGAATAGTAGCGTAGGAGTAAGTAAACGTGTATAAAGCAGGAACATTGATAAAAACTGATAAAGATATAGACAGCGGAATGTTAATTTCTTCCTTTTAGCAAGCTATCCCAGAAAAGTTTGGGAAACATAAATTGCTTATTGCACTAGTCTGTCTGTTCGATGAAATCAAAGTTAATACATTTCTTCTATTTCACTTAAATCCATAAAATAACATGGTAGCCAGCCGCTGGAACGATATCTTCCATGATAAGCACCCGGAGGTAGTACTCCTGTTGCATTTTGATTGGGATACACTTTTGTCTATTTCACATGAAATTTATTGTCCCTTGCATCCCCCTACCATAGCATGAGCCACTGCCACATCCCTATAAATAATTGTCAGCCTTTGTAGAATTTTCAATTTATTTTTGAATTCATCCTGCAGCCATTTGAGGTTGATCGGTTCCGGAAATATATCAGACGCCCTCTTGACATTCTCTTTTTGCTGTGATCGAACACCTGTTCGATGGCAATGGTTTTGTAGCCACTGCAAAAGATTATAAAATTTTATTTTAATTATAAACTTTTTCTTATTTACATTTACTTACAACCACCCATTCATTGCAAATTGCTCTCAATAGCTTCTCATCTTGTTGTAGGGCACACAAAAATCATAGAAACCTTTTGTTTCTTCCATCGTTTAAAATATTTCAAAATTATTCATTATTTAAAAGAATTTGATGTAATTCATTTATAATTTGCAAAATAATGATTGTTGGTCTGGCTGGAACAAAAATGATTTTTTATTGTTTTTTCCGGCTTACACGTGTTTTTTTTTGTTTAGAA